TGAGGCTAAGCTACTTAACAGGATTTTTGTGGGAATGAGATAGTAAACACTCAAATGTTAGCATCATCATTTCTATTAGGCTGATTCTGGGTTCAAGAAAGCCCCTAAGGGGAAGGGCTCAGCGGAACACCTGTAGTCCCAGCTCCGGAGTATGAGGCGAGAGGATTGCTTGAGCCCAGGAGTTCAAGTCCAGCCTGGGCAACACAGCAAGAACCAGTCTCTTTAAAAAAAAAAAAAAAGAAAGAAAAAACCCTAAGGTTTCCAAAATTGTTCAGCCCAGACCCCAAGAATATTAATCATTCCATACATTAGTGATTTGTGTAGCAAAGTTCCCTGGCTGAAAACCTCCATCTGTTTCCCATCACCTGTGCATACTGTGGATGAAAGCTTGGCCCCCCTGAATGTGGCACGCAAGGCCAGGGCAGTCTGGACCATCTTTAACCCCTGTCCTCACACTCTCGAATACCCTAGTCCCCAAACTTGATGGTTCTTGATTCTGAACAATGTTTTCTGATATGTCTTTGGCTTTAATCATGCACTCTTCTCATTCTGAAATGCCTCTCCCTCTTTTATTTTTGCCTGAACAACACCTATACTGGCCTCAAGGTCAAGCTCAAAGGCCACCTTGTGTGTATAGCGTTTCCTGGCTCCCCAGTTAGAATGGTGACTCCTCCTTCAAGCTTCTGTGCCTTGGGCATATTTCTACCATAGCGCTTAGTACATTCAAGTAGGCCTCACTCTATCTGCTTTTCTTTCCCTTTCCCCAAAATCCTGTTCCTTTTGTTTTTTTTAAGAGATAGGGTCTTGCTTTTTTTGCCCAGGCTGGAACTGTCCCAATATTTAATGAAGAGAAAAGAGATAATATACAGATAAGCATCTGACATCTTTGGAACATAGAGATTATACAATTGCAACATAGCCTTATAATTAAGTAACAATTATTTAATATGAAGATTTCACACACACTTCTGACGTGGATTGGGTCTCAGTTACAGCCTTGCAATTTGGCTCACATGCTTGGAATCTCAGATACTTGTGTGCTTCTTTGTTTTATTTTGTTTTTAATTCTAAGGAATGTAGTGCTGAGACTAAGCAGGGTGTGATGGGAGAATAGTGAATGTCAATTTCATCCTTTTGCAAACAAACAAAAAAATTAAATGTATGAATTGCAGCTGTCGTGGGCCTGTCTGCTTTATGGCATTCCTAGTGGACCTAGGGCAATTTGTTAGGGCTTGTATGGAACAGATGAATCAGCTCAACTCTCTGGCAGTTGCTCTGCTGTGCCATGACCTCTGTAGTAATCATAAAACCGCTTTGAATGGAGATAGGTGCATGTCTCTTTCTATGTTTTAGACCAGGATTTTTCTTTTTCTTTTTTTTGTTTTTTAATGACCAAGCAATAGTCATGGAAGATCAAGATTTTTCTTGCTCAAGGCCAAAGAGAAGAGGGAAGGAGTGAAGAGCAAGAGGTTAGGACTGGGAATTGGAACATCTCTGTCCTAATTTCTCCAGCTGAAAAATAGAGGGGAAAGCTTTCTGTTGCGTGTTTTCCTGACTGATCTTTGGAGAAGATCCCTATCTGGTCCCTGTCTGGAAATTTAGTTGTGTTTCTATCTTTAGAACCAGGAGGAAAGCTCTGGAGTTCTAGTGGCTATGCTGTCAAGGCTGAAATTCAAATATTCTGGAGACTACCTTTCTACCCCCAAATGCTCCCTGCATAATCTGAGCATCCTAGACAAAAGGGATGAAACGTTTCTTCTCAGATTGAAATGCAAAGCTAAACTTAGGATCTACGTCATTGGCAGCCTACTTTAAGTGCCACATCCATTCCAGCTCTTCCTGTATTTTCTTACTTAGTCACCCTCACTCCCGTTCCCAACACCCTGGCAATTATAAAGTCCTGGCAACTCTACCTGCTAATTTTTATTATTCCCTTCTTGATATCCCAACTACCTGTGACTGTAATTTAAGTCCTTGTTGTATAGTCTGAAATTGTTTAACTGATCTTGCTTTTATTTGAGTCTCCTTAAATCAGTGTGCCATGCAGTGTCAGAATGATCACCCTAAAATGCAAATATGTCCCTTGCACTCTTAAAATTCTTCAAAAGCTCCCTAATACGTCATACAAGATCTTCTATGTGCCGGTCCTGCAACCTCTGCAGGCTCACATCTTACGCTCCACCTATACTAGCTGCATATGATTTCCCAGAATGTTCCAGCCTTTGTGTCTATGCTCTTGTGATTTCTTCAGGGCAGTTCTTGTATCAAGACTTGTATCAGCTGTGCTTTCCTCACAGGAAGACGTTCTTGAGTTTTCCCCTCCTCCAACTACTCTTGGCCAGTGGCTCCTCCTTTATATTCATCTAGAACACTCTGCTTATCTTGATCATGATTCATGATGTTTGTCATGTAGTTCCCAAATTGTCTTTTTATACATTTATCTCTTTAATTAGCTCCTTTGCTGTAGGCTGTGTTTATAGTGGGACTCCAATAAATATTTATTAAATGTAACTAAATTGATTTTTGATCTTTTATAACTTCCAGTAATACTAAGCTTGATCCTGCAAGAGGGTTCTTGCAAAATTAGTTCTGTCTGGAATGATTTTCTTCCTACATTCTCCTTATGTCCTATATGGCACATATTATACTTTCAAATCATTTGTGAAGGTAATAAAGCTAGTGGTTCACAGCCCAGGCATTGATGTCAGAGTGCCTAATTTATAAATGCAAAATTGATGACCTTAGGCAATTTGCTCACTTTATGTGTATAAGCATACCTCAGTTCCTCATTTGTAACATGGGCCTAATAATCCCAGTCATGAGGATTAAATGAAATGAAATATTAATAATCTATGCTAAACAGATTTGTACCTGGGATCATACAGCTAATATTTACTGCTTGCTTGCTTCCTTCCTTCCTCTCTCTTTGTCTGTCTCTCTCTCTTTTCTTTTTAAAAATTATTGAATTTCTTTTCACTGTAAACTCCAAGAAGGCAAGGACTATGATGTCTTCTTCACTATTGTATCATGGTCCTTAGCAAGGCATATAGTAGTTACTAAATAAATTTGTGTAATCTGAATAATTGAATATATGACCATCCTTATTTTAGAGTATCAACTGAAGACAGGAAATTGTGACTGCTTATAGCCATTATCAGTGGCCTTTTAAAATCAGTAATTAACTTCCTAACCCTTATATTCACTTGGCTGTGTAACCAAGCAACTCCATTTTTCTTTAGTTCAAGTGAAAACATTTGGATGAAAGTTAGATGTGTGGAGTTGTTAGAAAATTATTTAGTGAAACTTGTTAAAGATGGTAAGGCAGACTTTATTCAAGGGGGGACTGTTAAATAGGTATAAGGACCACTGCAACGGGGTCTTGTGATGGGGGACTCTGACTCCAGCAAGGACAAGTGGGGATTTATAACCAAGGGACAGGGTAGGGGTTGGTCGATGGAAAATTACTAAGAGGAAACATCAGGGCTAAGGGGGTTTCTGGCTAAACCTACATGTTAGGATTATTGTAGGCAGGCCAGGGTGATAAGATATTGAGGGTGATAAGATACCAAGAGTGGGAGATTTTAGCCAAAATAACTTAGCAGGATTCTTGCTCAAAAATGTATTCTATAAGGACAGAAAGGGAAGCCTAAGATCAGTTCTAGTTAGAAAGAACTCAGGAGACTGATTCAAGTGTAGTCAAAGGAGGAAGTCTGTATCAGAGTCATTCCTGGATTTTTATTACAGCAACATGGGCTCTTATTTACTTCATTCGGAACTGAGAGTATCATGTCTAGCATTGACCAGGAAGCTGTTGGAATAAACATGCTTAGGATGAGGTGACCTTGCTCTACAGAGCACAGGTAGAGTCTCAGGATGCTGCACTGTGAGAACAAAATGACAAGCAGTATCAAAATAACAAGGTGATATAGACAGCTAATTTCAGCAAGTTAAACTCCAACAGTGATTCTGAAATTTATTTTCAGTGAAAACTTTAACTTTTCCTAACATAATCCATTTTACGAAATTAGTAGTATAGACAGAAAAGAGGAAAGGACAGTTTTTTATTTTTTATCAGGGAAAGAAGTAAAGGTCTGAAAAACAAGAAGGAGAGTCAGCTTCCCTAAGCTATAGACTTTTTTAAATCATAAAACTTTTGAATCAAAAAGATAAGTCTCTTAACAAAAAAATAAGTCAGTGAGTAAAGGGGGTGACAGTAGTTACACTAGAAAACCTGGATTGAGGAAAGCTACTGTGGCTGAATGCCAGCAAGGCAGAAGGACGACACCAGTAGGTTACCGAGTTCTCATTCTCCACCATTGGCCAGCACAGTGGGTCACCAGGAGGCAGAGCCCTGCAAGTTACGGTCACACTGCCAGAAGCACATGAAACTAGTGGACCATCATGGCCCTACCCAACCTGAGAACTGAAGACCCAGGGCCCACTCCTTTATTTTTCCACTCCAGAACCAGTATCAGTTCTTCCTGGCCAGTTATACATGTGCAAAACATTTTCATTCATGTCCTCTACTTGTTGCTCTGCATGAAATGTTTTTTGTCATATCACATAGTCTTAGAGCTTAGAAGTCATGACTTTGTGCAAGGCTGAAGCATGGCAGGTGGTAATGATTTAAGAGAAGGAAGAGAAGCAGCCCTGCTTGAGTAGGTTTCAGGTTCTGGCCCACCAGACTGGGGAATCAAGCTGTCACATCTTAGTCCTCTCTTTAGGCAAAGACATTTACAGTGCAGATTCTCTCCCTGGGCAAATGCCAGCTGGCTTTCTAGTAGTTCTGGCTTGGCCAAAGAACATAGAGTCTTTTTCTCGCAACCCAAATACTCTTCCTTCTCTACAGTTTTGTATCTAGGGTCTTTCAAATATAAGCCAGATGAAAAAGCAATTCTAGCTCTTTCAAACCCAATGAGAGACTGGAAGACCGAGGGAAGGCAAATATGGGAGGATGAGGAGGAGAGGGACTCTAGCCAGACGTATACCTCTATACTTACCACTTTTTGGTTCCCCTCATTATCAGTGAGCAGCCATTCAATATCCAGGGTGTCTTTTTCTGGAAGCCCCAGTTGATGGTGACAGGGCAAGGTGACCTTTTCCTCTGCCACTCTCTTGATCTCAGTGTGAGTCCCCAAGGTTCCAGTGTAGTAGGAAACTGAAACAGAAAGACATCTAATGAGTAATGCAGAAACTGGATGGCAATGTGTGGGGAGCAAATAAGACAACATGTAATTATTGGGTGTTCCTGGGACCAAGGAGCAGGTCAAGGTGTTGGAAGAATCCTAGAACAAAAGTACTAGAAGTGCCAGTGTCTCACAGTGGCTCCTCCATGAATCACATCTTCTTTAATGCCCCATCAAATTACATCCTACTGGTGCCTGTCTTTCCTACCTTACTTGGTTTTTATGAACAATCAAATTGCTCAGGTCAACAACTACCTCTTTTTTTTGAGGCAGAATCTCTCTCTGTTGCGGGGGCCAGAGTGCCGTGGCGTCAGCCTAGCTCACAGCAACCTCAAACTCCTGGGCCCAAGCAATCTTCTTGCCTCAGCCTCCTGAGTAGCTGGACTAACTATAAGTGTGTGCCACCATGCCCGGCTAATTTTTCTATTTTTTTGTAGAGACAGGATTTCACTGTATTGCTCAGGCTGATCTGGAACTCCCGGCCTCAAGCAGTCCTCCCACCTGGGTCTCCCAAAGTGCTAGGATTACAGGCATGAGCTACTGTGCCCAGCCAACAACTGTGTCTTGATTTTTCTGTCTCCTACTAACAGAAGCTTCCAAAAGGCTGATACTCTAGGAAACTATGCACTAAGTTGCTCAGCAACTCACGTTCTCGAGGTCATAGAATCATGACCATTTGAAGGTGGGAAAAAACCTTAGAGATGAAACTTCTTATTTTACAAGTGAGTTTTTTCAAATCTAGCAACAGTTGTTGCTGACCAGTAGCATGTATTTAAGAGGATGAAAAAACAACTACACAAATAGTGTAGTATAAGGGGAAATTATTCATGATCAAAGGGCAATGCAAATTTAGAGGAGAGAAATTATAGGCAATTTATTATAGGGTTCAGGGAAAGTTTAAATCCTTCAAGGGTTTTGTAAGTATTAGAAACACAGTATGTAAATCATCTAGTATAGCGTTTAGCACTTAATAGCTCTGAGTAAAATGCAACTGATTTTATTATTAAGAAGGTGGTATTTGCTATGGGCTTTGGAAAATGGAGTTCATGTAAATAGAAATAGAGGATGAAGAACGATGTTGAGATGTGGGGGAGGGGAGATGACAGGAACAGGCACAGGATGGGAAAGTGGGGGGATCTTCAGCGAATGGTAATAAATAGTTCAGCTGCCTGGCGTGAAGAATAAATGTGGGAAGGTAGTAACAAGTTAGGCTGGAAAAGTGGGGCAGTGTATGTGATAAAAGGCCTTGCTTGCTGCAATGTGACATAATCCATTGCTTTGCTTAAGATGAGATATTTAGGAGCTGTGTATAGAATGCACAGAAAAAGGGAAATACTGAGCCATGCATTTGTGAAAAAGCTGTTACATTTTTCCAGGTGAGAGCTATTGTCCCAGGATAGTGGTGAAAGTGGTAAAAAGAACAAAGGACAGATTTGAGAGGCAACACGGAAGTCAAAACTATAGGACACAGCAACTGACCAGCTCTCAGAGGAGAAAGAAATGGCTTTCAAAACCAAAGGCTGTTTCCACGCTTGCATGACAGGATGGCGGCTGCATTGGCAGGGATAGGGAAGTCGGAAGCACCATGTGTTTTTATTTTGGGGTGAGGTGGGGAGGGTAGACACTGAGTTTAGATGTAAGTCTTTTGCAATATCCGACAGGCATCCCTGTGCTTTTTTCCTGACCATAATGCCTCCCTTTCCACTGCGATGCTCACACGACTCCCCAAATAGTGTCCACCCTCAGTTGTTGCGTGAGAGGAAGTTGCAGCACCCTGGGCGTTGCTTTATTTCTTCATTTTTCGTTTCTCTTGTGCTTCACAAATAAAGCTCTTAGAAATACTCCAGTTCCATCAGTTGTGCCTGGGCTAAACTGTATCAGGTCCCTGAATTTTCCTTGGTCATTCCATACAAGCATTGTATGTGGGAGGAGGGAGGGCAGAGTTGGCCTCTTCCCCAGAGTAGGCTCCAATACCAGGTCACAGGCTGGGTTTCCAGGTCACTCCTTAGAGCCTTGTCATAGACAAGGCACCTTCCCAGATCTCTTTGTAAGTGCAGAAATGCCTCCAGGAACAAGTGGGCTCTTATAGGGAGTTTCTGCTTCCCTAAGAGATACATATTCTTTTATCCTTCCAAATTCTGTCTTCCATTCTCTGTAGTTTCATGTCACATGGTTTCAAAATCTAAAACAGGCTGGGTGTGGTGGCTCATGCTTGTAATCCTAGCACTTTGGGAGGCTGCGGTAGGAAGATCGCTTGAGCCCAGGAGTTCTAGACCAGCCTGGGCAACATAGCAAGATTCTGTCTCTACAAAAAATTTAAAAAATCAGCCAGGTGCGGTGGCATACCTGGGGGCTGAGGGAGAAGGATCACTTGAGCCCAGAAATCTGAGGTTGCAGTGAGCTATGATGATGCCACTGCCCTCTAGCCTGGGTGACAAAGCAAGAGCCTGTCTCAAAAAGAAAAAAAAAAAAACAAAATCTGATCTGAAGCAGGCTTTTCTATCCAAAGCAGAATTCTGAGTTACCCCGTTTGGATGGATCCTGTCCCTCCATCCATGTAATATTGGCCTTTGGCCAGTAGGAATTCAGTTCCACTTTTGGCTTTCTTATCTCTAACTTACATCTTTTTCTAGGAATAGTACCCTGTCAGAAACTTTAGACTCTGCTATAGACTGAAGGTTTGTGTCCCCCCAAAATTCATATGTTGAAATGATAACCCCCAATGTGATGGTATTAGGAGGAGGGCCTTTGGGAGGTGATTAACTCATGAAGGTAGAGCCATAATGAATGGAATATAAAGGACCCCAGAGAGGTCCCTCACCCTTTCTGCCATGTGAGGACACAGAGAGAAGACAGTGTCTATGAACCAGGAAGTGGGCCCTCATCAGATACTGAATCTTCTGGCTCCTTGATCTTGGTCTTCCCAGCCTCCAGAACTGTAAGAAATAGATGTCTATTGTTTAAGCCTCCCAGTCCAAAGTAGTTTGTTATAGCAGCATGAACTAAGAGACTCCAAGGCCACCTTCTCTCCTTCCTGTTACTCTCTCTCTCAGTATCCGGCCAAGGATCTGACATCGTTGACTATTAAATCTACAGTATCGATGACTGATGAATTGATACGACGAAACATCATCTAGATTCTAGGTATGATGTGCCTGACATTCAAGGTGTGCTTTAGCTCTAGATCCTCCTTTATCTCCTTACACAGTAATAAAGAAGCTCAGTGTGAAAAATGATCTCTTTTAAGCCATTCATAATGAAACAGAATCATACAACCTCCAGATTGGAACAGCCCCAAATGCCAGGGCTTGTGTGAAGTCTTCTTTCCTGGAGGGAACTCACTCTGCCACTTCAGGAGGGTTTTAAAAGCTAAAGACCAAGAGTTATGACTAATCGAAGCATATAAACTACCTCTCCTATATTCCCTGTTCATTTCTCAAAATTGATTAGCAACTAATCAGTGGGAAGGCAAAGGACCTGTATTCTTGCCTTCAGAAAAATGAAATGAGAAAGAAGGAAGCAGGGGAGACTGTTTCATTCTGCAGCAAGGCTGTTTGGGCTAAGACTGTAGGGAAGAAGCCCTCCAAGGCATCCACCATGAGAGAAGCCCCAGGTGGGTTGCCAAGCACAGTGGCAAAGAAACGAGACCCCAGGAATGTGCTGGACCTACGAGGGGCCTTTAGAGCCAACAGTTTATGCCCTTGTGGGGTCTTACTGACTTTCTCAAGAGGGTTTCTATTATTTCTATTTAGAACTTGAAACTGCAATGAGAATGGCCACTTTTTTTTTTTGAGACATCAGTCACCCAGGCTGGAATGCAGTGGCATAATCATAGCTAACTGCCTCAAACCCCTGGGCTCAAGGGACCTTCCGTCTCAGCCTCCCAAGTAGCTAGGGCTACAGGTGTGCACAACCATGCCAGCTAATTTTTAAATTTTTCGTAGAGATGAGATCTTGCTATATTGCCCAGGCTGGTCTCAAACTCCTGGCCTCAAGCAGTTCTCCTGTCTCAGCCTCCCAAAGCACAGGGATTACAGGTGTGAGCCACCTCGTCCAGCCAAGAGTGACCACCATTTAGTGAGCACTTCCTATGGTTTGGCTCTACATGGAGCACTCAACCCTATGAAGAAAAGATTATCATCCAAATTTATTGATGAAACTCAAACACAAGGTTACCAACTTGCCCGAGGTCACATAGCTAAGAAGTGACAAGAGACGAGGCTTGCCCCACGTATGTTTCACTGCAGAGTTCAGAGTTCGTGCCCTGTTTTATGTGGCTTCTAGGATATCTGGTTCTCCCATTATCTTGTTAATTCCTTTAGATTAAGTCCCATTCATCACTGCCTTCCATAGCAGCTCAGGGTCCCACACACTGCTGGTGTTCAATTAATATTTTGTTGAATTGATTTGAATCTAACCCACGTACCCATTTTACCAAGGAGTAAACTGAGGCCCAGGGTAAGAGGTGGCCCAAGGTCCTACAACTCATTTAGTAGCAGAAATAACTCATATAATAACCCATTCTCCCTCAGTCTCTGTAAAGCAGCTATAGAGCAACTGAGAAATGCACCAGTTTGCACTGTACTAAGCTAAGCTTGTGAGAAGGAGCTCTGGCTTCGACTCCTGGCTTTCCACTGGACACAAAAATGCTCAAATGAAACCAGTGTCCTGCACTCCAGGCAAAGCTAGAGAACCCAGCACCAATTTAGTGTATACAGCAAATTCAATAAATAAATACAAAGCATCAGCTATGAAAGTTGCTGATTTAAGCCACTAGAGGGAATCAGAGGCTCAGATTTGGTTGATGTCCCAAAAGGACCAGAACATAGTAGTGGGTGGTGTGGTTTGACAGTGTGCCAAGTTCTATTTATACCATACCCAGAATTAAATACAGCAGTGCAGGGAGGAGCCCCTTAGTGAACACAAATGGCTTCACCAGGCAGGGAGCCACGAGATCAGAGCGCACATACCTCTAGTCTTCCCTGAACC